CAGGTCTTTACCTATTTGTCAGAGTCTTGGCATCCAGGTAGTGTCTACTGCTGGAATGAGTACACCAGCTCAGGCCTTCTGGATCCTAGGTCTGTGCTTCCAGGAGCTTTCCTCCTCCACCAAGAAAGACCTGAAAATTTCTTACGGTCATGCTGACCTTACATCCCTGTTTCTCCTGGCTTGTCCTTATTCCCCAAATGTACCAGTTTAGACAATAAATCATATGGTCTTTTTGTTTAGAATCTTCTCATCTTTCTAGAATGCCTCTTCTTCAAACATAATAAACATTCCTGGATCAGAGATGCCACTGGGGCTGCCAGCTCAGAGCACCCTGGAAGGTTCCGATGAGTCTCTGGTTGCAGGTAGCCAGAGACCTGGTGCACACAGGTGTGAACTAGGTTAACTAGGACTGCATTCAGCCTAACAAAGGGCTTCAAAAGTAATGCTCTAGAATTCCTTTTTCTCATCTGTAAAATGAAGGAACTCTACCGGCTCATTCCAAAGGCTTCTGATAACACGAAAATCTGCACCTCTAAGTGAATTTCTGTGGGTATCCTCCTCTCTGTACTTACCTCTTCTTCACCAGCTTCCATACTGATGTGAGTAGGGCCACATCTGACGGCACCTTCGAGCTTGTGCAGTCCAGATGCCCCAATGGGGATACAGTAGCTTCACAGCCAAGAGTACAGACGCCTGGCCCTCCCCCTTCTTTTTGGTTCCCAAATCTCACACTAGGTTTGAGGAGAGACCATGGACACATGGAGAGCCTGGAATCCCATTTCCCAGTAGGGAACTTCTTTCTTACCCTTTGTCCCCCTTGTCACTTTGCCTGGAAAGAAAAATTGGGGGGTCCCTGGAAGGAAAGGCATGGGTCATACTGGAGTGTGGCTGACTTCCCAGTAGAAAACTGTTCTGTAAGTGACGCTATCCCAGAAAGAGAGGTGGTGAAGGGGTCCCCACCTTTTAAACCCTTAGAAGACTGAACTGATGCCTGATCTTGGGAGAACATGCTCTCTCTGGGGGTGCTTGTTCTTAAAGACATCTGATGGGTAAGTCATGGCTTTGTCTTTCCAAACAGGAAGAAGCTGCCTCCAGCCGCACTTATGGGGAGCTGTGTAACACCACTGTCCTCATGCTTGGCCTTCGGGAGAATCAGATCTCCTGAATCCAAATCCTGGTTCAATCACCCTAGGGTGTCACTTTCAGGAAGTTTCGTTTCTTATCTCCTGACTCTTAGTATTCTCATATGTGAGGGGGGAGGGGATAAAAACAGCAATCCTTGCAGGGCTATTCTGGGCATTAAATGAGGTAATTCCTACCACAAGTGGAATACAGTACCTACAGTGATCAACGCTTTGTAATCCTAGTGAACACATTGGACTTTCAGTACTTAAAGTTCTCTGATCCACGGAGAGGAGCCCATGGCTTAATAGAGGAGGTATAAACCCATTCCCTGCCCTTGAGTAGGCAGGGTTTAGGCATCAAGTCAATGTTGTGGGAGGAGAAAGAATTCTGCAGTCAGCTCTGAGACTGCTGCTCTCAGCCATGTGTCACCATCAATGGGCTTCGGGGGGTCCTGGGCTGAGAAAGGGGAGTATGTGCCTGAGTCTCCAGCAAACTTGGCTCAGGTGGGTGGTTCCTGGGTTCCCTTCTCAGTGCCAAAGGAGAGAGGCTGTGAGGACTGTCAAGTTCTTATTATTGTGATGTGTTTATGGCAATGTTAACCTCAAAAATAAATACTGCCAGTTATTTTATCAGCAAAAGATGGGTCTATTCAGGAATGAAAAAGAATTGCAGCCCGGGACAAATAAGCTGTGCAGCAAAACCATAGGCAAGCCCCAGGAACAAAAGAGAGGCATGATTTTTTAAGGAGAAAAGAGGGAAGTTGGGAAAGCTGTAAGAAAGTAAAAGTCCATTGTAATAAACTAGGAGTTTGAAATATGGTGGCTTTTCACTGGTAGAGCTGCTGCCAGGGGCTAAGGAAAGCATCTCTTCCTCCAGCTGGAGTAGGAGAGTAGTATCCACCTGCAAATATCCACCTTGATCCAACATCAAGTCTGTGTAAGGTCAAGTCTGTCTCCTCCTGTTGGGTCTGCAATTGACTGCAAGTGGTAGGGTGTGAGAGCCCCCCCTGCCCAAACCTGCCCAAACCTCATAACTCCATGTTAGTGAGGTTTCCCATTATTAATTTTTACATGAGTAAGTAAAATCTATAAGTCATTTATGAACTTTGCTTCCATTCTCATGTAGCTGGTCCTCTTTGGCCAGGCTATACGTAGTCCAGAAGGAATTTGCCAAGCAGAGGTTCTTCTCCTCCAAATCTAGGAGGCTCTGAGAGGAAGGCCAGGAAAGGAGCAGCAGGTGAGGATGATGGTGTGTAGTCTCAGTGCCCAGGCCAACTTTGAGGGACTGACTGCATTCTCCTTCAGGCTACAGTCATGGGAGAGGAGGACTAGGGTCAGAGTTGAACTACTCAACTGGATGAGGTTCTGAGTCCCTGGACCTCTGGGGTCTAAATGTTCTTACCTCTGATCTTTCCCTGATGCATCCATAGTCCTAATGAAGTCTGTCTCCCTCATGGAACTTTTTAGTCCACAGAAGACATGGAGAGGATAACTGTCCACATGGGGTAGAGGAAGTCACCTCCAGTGGCCCTTGTCCATTCAACCTTTACAGGATTCTGACAGTGATTTCTTTTATTGGTTAAAGAAAGGATTCACTTTACCCCAAACTAACCTAAGGTACTGTGAGGCAAGGCTTAAGAATGGTTCAGGCTCAATGAAAAACATACCTGAGTCTGATCTTGAATCTGACACATACCAGCTGTGGACACTGAGCCTGAGTCCTCTCTGCCACACCAGGAGGATAACGACCTTCACAGCTGTCCGCTAGGAAGAGTCAGTGAGAGAATGTGTTAGGTGCTAAGCACATAGTCAAGTTCAATTTCAGATAACCTCCTCCTCTTCCTCTCTTCTCTTAATTCATTGTGGTTTTCCCTGTCTCTTTCAGGATCTTTCAGAACTGATGGTCCATAGTCACAAGAGGGTCAAGGGACATGCCAGTATGAGAATGAGCCATGTTAGAGGGGGCAGCCGAGCACAACATCCTTATGTCTAAAGTAGACCCACTGGTCTCCTGATTAAAAGAAATTTATCTCCCCAGCTACTCAAAGGGCCAGGTCCTCCATGTCAAACTACATAAAGTTTATTAGAGAGAGAAGCCTGGGAAAATTGTTCTCTGGTACCAATGAGGCTGGGCACAGATAAGAAGAGACAAGGATTTAGTCGAAGAGATGAAGGTTAGACTCCAGGAAGCTTTCCTGACAGGGGAAATGGTGAAGTATTGTCATGGATATGACTGGAAAAGGTGGTGTCCTCCCCAGGAGGTTCACATACATGGACTGAGGAGAGTTTTCCATAAGGAGATAGGGGCTGACTTTCCAAGATACTTAGCCACCTGAGCAGTCTGTCAACAACTCTTCAACGACACAAAGTCATGGCTCTTATCGACTAGGGAACCATCTTTACTTACTCACTTTGCAGATAGAATGAAGGTCCTGGAGGTCCCATGCCCAGAGAGTGGCAGAAGCTGAACCAGAAAGCACATTCCCTGACTTCTGGCCTCTTTATGTGGAAGGCAGAATCCAACATGGCCCCCAACGCTCCCTGCCTCCTGGTATTCACACCCTTGCGTAATCCACTCACCTCCAGCACTGACTTACTTATTTGCGTCTAGTGAATAGAATACAGTAGAAGCAATGGGACATCACTTCTACGATTAGGTTGCAAAAAAGACTGAGGCTTCAGTTTTAGACCCTTTTCTCTCTCTCTCTCTCCAGGCATTCAATAAAGATGTGATGATTGATACAGGAGTTGTTCCATCCGTAAACTGGCACTTTGGTAGGAGAGGGAAAAACGATGCTGGGCTAGATGTCACCTCTGAGGTCGGGGTAGACTAAGATGCCCAGTAAGCAATGAAACTCTCTGAATCTGGAATTCTGTGAGCAATATTCACATGCACGGACATGACTTCAGTTTCCCTATCCCGCTCTAAGTACATAAAGTCATCTAGTGTCTAAGCTGCTGTCCTCAAAAGTAGTACCTTAACTGTTTGCTCAGTAGCCAGAATAATCAAAGCAGCCCAGTCTCTGTCTCAGCGGGATGAGGGAGAAAGGCTGGGGGCTAGGTTCACCAGGGGGGAGAGCCATGGCTTTGTGCTCACCCTGAATGACAAAGCACCAGCAACTTTGGGCTGCCCCTGAGGCATCTGACCTTTTCATCCTTGGAAGTCTGTGGTCTTAAGGGAAGAATGACATAATGGCCCTCTGTTCTTAGTTGGGCTAAGCTGGGCTAATGGAGGAATTGTGAAAGCCCTGGGGTGAGCAAGGGTCCTCTGGAGGTCAACTTGTCCATTCTCCTACCTCCAGGAGGGGCAGCTAATTATCAGTTTATTAGGTCATAGATGCAATGAAGAGAAGGTGAGTCTGACTCTCATGTCAGATGTAGGATGTACAGGAAGGAAGATTCTAGTTTGCTTGGTCAATAATCTGGTACTTCATGTCTCCAGCTGTCAGTTCTTCCTGCCTCTGTTTTCATCAATGTGTTTCTGCCTCTGTTTCAGCCTGTGTCTTCTTATTCTGTCTGAGGTTCAGTTGATTCTGGGGACAAAAGCCTTAATATTCATTAAATAATTGCTTTTGGCCTCTGCCACACTCACCCTTTGCAGATTTCTCTTTATCTTGAAGATTTTCATTAAGAACAGAATTTACCTTCCTGACATCTGGGCAAGGCATAGGTGGTGGGGAAGTGATGGCAAATATAGAAATTAAGGATTCAGGAACTTCAATGCTGGGAGGGTCCTCTGGTTTTAAGGCTCTCTCTCTGCCACATGAAGAATCCAGGTGACTGAAAAAACTCTGAGGAGGTGAGTCATGTGGATAAGATCACCTTGGTCAGTGTAGATCAGAGTCCAATACTTCGACTTTTGCCGTCTGGTCTCATGGTCTTCCCAAAACTTTGAGTTTCCTAGGCCTGGAATTATATACAAGATATGACTGCTTGTTTTTCTAGAGCGGGAAAAAAAAATCCTATCCCCCAAAAATAAAGAAGAGTTGAAAAGCTCTTTGGGCTCATTAAACAGGCTGTTATAAGTTTTCTTGAACTTCAAATAACTCTTACCAAATAACATTTTGATGAGTTAAGTGTAAATGAATCAGAAACATATGGATAAAATTTCCTTGAAAATACACAAGGGTTTCAGAATCAAGGAGAGTCACCCTCACCCCCAGCCCATCCCCTTCCCATTCAGCTCTGGGTTTGGGTGTTGGGAACTTCCTCCGCAACTCACTGATTGGACTGCCCACCCACTGGCCACCCAGCATGCTTCCAGCTTCTCCCCTGGAATTCCGCCTCATCTCCTGTGGCTTAGTGGCCAAGTGGCTGGGGTGGGCTAAGAGAAGAAAGGCCAACTGGTGAGGGAGATAGAAAGAAGGGATATGCTGGGAGTAGGCAACCCAAGTGCTTAGAAAACCAGCCGCGTGCTATGTGCAGGGAAGGATGGCATTTGTGGCTACAGGCTGGCTTCAGACTTAGGGCTCTTTGGAAAGCAGATCATAATGTTTTCTTTCTTTCTAAGCAACAGGCTCAGTTTTGTGTTTTCCAGGTTGCTACGGTTTTCTGGAGCTTGCTCCTAAGTCTCTGTAGGGTCTGGGACAGGCAATGTTGAATTCCCCAAGATGAGGCCCTTATGAATGGAAATCATATCTCCGGACTGCCTCAGCTTCTAGAAGCACCTTTTCCTTGCATCCTACAAATGCACCCTGCCTTCCTGTGCCAGGCAAAAATGGCCCAGAGTAGATGGAATGACCCCTCTGTGTACCTGGGAGTTCCGCAGCCCAACAGTTTCCTGGTGCATAGTCCTGGAGCTGAGCAATGTCCGCAGGGTGGTCCAGTTCCCTCTCTCTTCCTGCCCTCCTTGTCTTTGCTGGTTGGCTGTTGCCCTGGCAAAGACAGTAGGGGTGTCTAGTAACAGACTCCATACAGAAGGGGTGAATGGTCCTCATATTTTACTTTTTATGCTACATGCTTAGTTTATGTTTCCCCAAAGCATACCTTGAATCGAGGATTTGGGGGCAAGAGTTGATATGTGAGGTGATTCTAGGTAACATGGTAAGGAAGAGGAGAAGTATGATGGGGAAAGGAGGAAAGTCAATAAAAAGTGTGTGTATTAATAAGTGGGTTGCCTGCATAGGCAACTGGGTTCAGTCCTGATGCGGACCCTCTGAGAGATACTTACCTCATGAGGAAGCCAGGCTGTTCTTCCACCAACTGTCACTCCTCACTGGTTACTTCTAGAGCATTAACTCCCTAGAGCTTTTTGCTGACTCTATGTGGGGCAAATCAAGTTCCTGAAGCCACAGAAAGCTTGGGATGGAGAGAGGATGGTGACTGAGGTAGGAAGCTGTTGGAGTATGGCTGGCCTTCGAGAGGCAGGAGGTAATATGGTCAGGGCTTATTCATTTCCTCCTACAAATACCTGGATATATCCCCACTCCCCTCTCTCTGCCCCTTCATACTGACCTCCCCTCTGGCTCAAGTTTTGGATGGAGGAGTGAAGGGGGAGAGTAAAATAAAGCAGGTGCCCCTCCCTCCTGAGCATTGGTTTTTGGATACCAGAGAGTAAAAGGGGTAAATGTGTGTTTGCACTGCCTGCCAGGCTGTTAGGCAGAGCATCTGGCCCAAGGGTGGCCATGCTCACAAGCTCCATAGATCTGCTGAAAAATAGAGCAGGGGCTGAGCTCTCCCACCTGCCCTGGGCTTAAGCATGTCAAGCTTGGCACAGTCATCTAAAACCTTGCTTTGGGGTCTTTTTATTTTCCCTCCCACCCTTCTTGGGAACACTGGTCAGCCTCAGAGAGGCTGACTTTGCTCTGAGAGGCTTTGTTCTGAGAGGCCCAGGGAAGAGGAAGAGAGGAAAGTGGGCTAGTGCAATCAAATTGAGACCGTCTGATGGGGTAAACAATGTTATGCCGAGAGCTGTAGTTAGGTGTGTTACATGTTCAGAGAGCACAAGAAAGGAGAGAGGTGGGACAGCCATACTGAAAGCTGTGAGATGGAAAGTTTTATCTTTAAGAGGCTCTTATCCAGATGTGATGGCTTCTGAAAGGCCTCCCTGTCCTATAAGCCTAAAGTGTCTTTATCAACCAACATTGAAGTCCTATTTTAAGGCCATCACATTGACCCATTCTTTATTCCCTCAATGTTGTATCATGCCTCTTAGCTCTATAAAAGAAGCCAAAAGCTTTCAAAGGCCAGAGGCAGCCTCACCTTTCTTCTTGAAGGTGACTGAGTTGAATGGGTGGATTGGCAGTAGGCCCTAAGGAGGATTTCCGCCAGGTGAGCAGCCCTTGGCTCTGGGTCATTGGGACAGAGTAGAGAAAGGAACAAGAAGGGAGATCACCAGGAGTGGGGTGGGAAAAGAAAGCATGGTGCTGTGCTCATCTCCTCCTCTCTCTCCTTCCCAGATGATTCACACCGCCATCACTTCCCATCTATGACCCCTGGGCTCGCAGCCATCCCGAGGCCCTTTCCTGCCCAGCTCAGCTGGAAACAGATGCAGACTGACAGATGTCTCCTTCAGGAACTGTGACCTCTTCACACCCATCTCAGCGTGGCCACTCCCTTCCAGGCTGGTGGAAAGAACACTTCACAGATCTTCCCCAAGACACCGGCCTGGGGCCCTGTGGCCACTCCAGCACTAAGCATCGTCCTCCTGGCTCTCACCTCCTGCCTCTCATGCTCCACCATCTACCCCTGCGGCAGCTGCCCTCCTTTTCCATGGAAGCCCCTTGCCCACACTTCCTTCAATCCTGTTGGCTCCCAATGTCTTAGCGTGACTTCCTGCTGCCAGGTGCTCTCCTGACCTCCTCACCCACTCATCTTGCTGTGACAATTCGGGTAAGGGAGTGGTGTGTCCTCTCTGGAGGCTTCTTCCATCATCCAGTGCCACACCCTCTGCCTGCCCTTCCTCTGTTAGCAATATCCCTTTCCACATCTCAAGGTGGCCATGAGAAGGCAACAAGACCATCTGGATGAAAGTGCATTGGAAACCACAAAATCTCCAGAATTAAAAGGATTATGCAATCCATTTTGACAGAGAAGAAAATGCAGGTTCTGAGAAGTTCGCCCATTCCATGGTGGACAGAGGACTAGGCTCCTTCTGGCATCTTCCTGTGCTTGGAATGCCCGGAGGAGCTGGATAAAGTGCAGATTCTCAGGACCTCCCAAGAAACTCCATCTGGTGGATCTGAGGAATCTAGATTCAAAACACAGGTCCCAGGGAGATCTGATGCAGAAGGTCATGTTAACCAAACTCTCACCAAGGCTGTCTGACTCCTGGCTTGTCACTCTGACCATCATGCACCCATACCTAGGTCAGCCTTTACTGGCTCCCTGCCTGTATATTTGTCAATCCATTTTCTATTTTCCAAAGGACTCAGCTTGGGGCTCAGGCCTATGAACTAATAGTGAGGAAGTAATTGGTGGCTGGCTCTTCAAACACTAGCCTCTGAGACTCTGGAGGGTGAAGTCAGAGTTCTCAAGGCAGGTGCAAGCAGAGCAGTGAGGAAAATGTGCCCCCCAACATGGCTGAGGAAGCCGTTCTGAGCACAGGCGACTGAGAGTCATGAACACTGTCCTCTAGGCCAGCCGAGAGGGGCTAGGGACACTGACAACTGCTCCCTCCCTGTCCACACCCATCCTTTGAAGGCTGTTCCTCACCTCCTGCTTTCCCAGCATTCAGTGTTTCCACCTAACACCCATAGATGGGATCTTTCCAGGGGCTGTGTGGCACTCTTCTTTGCTCACCTGTGGGATCGTCCCCTGAATGCCCCAGGGACTCCCCAGGGTGAGGCCTGGAAAATCTCCCAGTATTGGTGGTGGTGGTGGGGGGCAGTTCTGAGACCTTCAGGGAAGCAGCTGGATAAAGGTGTTATGAGCTGATATTGACAACATGATAGGAGATTGCCAGTTCTCCAAGGCCAGCCAGGCCCAGAGCGGAGGGAGCCCCAAGGGAGCCAAACAGCTGGGAGGACCAGCCATGGGAGGGGTGGGGCACTGCAGTGGACAGTGATGAGGCAAACGGGAAGAAGGGGGACCTGAAGCTGGGGTTCTTGTCCTGGCCCTGCAGGAGCCGGCTGTGTGTTTCTCAAAGGATATCGCACTTCCGTGGGCCTCTTCTTGACTGAGGGGGTGGGGGATTGAGATAGCATGAGCACCAGCTGTCCAGGACAACACATCTTGAAAGAAAGCTGATGGTCCATGGGGCACCTGGGTGGCTCAGTTGGTTAAGCAGCAGGCTCTTGGTTTCAGCTCAGCTCATAATCTCGGGGTCATGGGATCGAGCCTCGTGTTAGAGTCCATGCTCAGCTCTCCCTCTCCCTTTGCCCTTCCCACCCTGCTCACACGCTTTCTCTCTAAAACAAATAAATAAAATGTTTAAAGAAAGCTGATGGGCCTAAATCAAGGCTTCTCAAACCATTTTCTATAGAGAGAGGTTTCTGTTGCTAGAGCATCCCTCTGAGAGCTTGAAAGGAGTGGCATCTTGACCACAGTCACTTGCTTTCCTGCTTTCAGTCATCCCAGGGGTTCCTTGGGGGGAATTTCTGGGTTTTTCCTGAGCTGAAGAGGACCTTTGTTCTGGTCCAGTGGTTTTTGGTGAGTAAGCACACCATGACTCTCCCCCTGGCTGTGGTAGGTCAGCCAGCCAGGGATGGGGCAGCCATTGGTGGTCCAAAGGCCTAAGGCATGGAGGAGGGCTTCAGGGCGGGCCAGGCTCATTAGTCGGTTTGGAAAGTGGGGGTCTATTTAGTGTTTCCAGAGCACCAGAAAATATCCCAGTGGGGCATAGCGTCTGAGATTCTGAGTTTTTCACTGCTATGCACAGTACCATGATTCATAATTTCTTATTAGATGAGCTAATGAACACATTTATTTATTTACTGGGTCCTGATGACTTCCCGTCTGTGAGTCCTCAAAGAAAAACTTTTGTGCTGTAAGTTGCTCCAGCTGACGTCTTAGCTGGGCTTAGCTTTTCTGGTCACTTTCTCACCCTTCTTTCTAGGCAGCTGGCTCGGTAAGGGGTTCTGGAGAAGAATGGGTGATGTGCAGTGGGCCAGGGATTGGGGGCAGAAGAGTGGCAGGCAGATGGAGCGGCACGCTCTTCAGTGAAGACATTCCCCCTTACGGACGATCGGGAGACATACTGCCCAGATACCCTTTTGGGAAGGGCCTGCTGCCCAGCTGCGGGTATGCAGTCAGCAGTTTCCAGCTATCAGCTCCATCAGGGCCAGCTTCAGCTGCAGAGAATGATTTTGCAGGTTACCCACTTGTTCCCACCTCCAGGGACTGAGCAGGATGGGGTACACAGGCTTGGCCAGTACTGCTTGACGGAGGCCACAGGTGAGCAGCTGTGCTTACTCAGAGCTCCCCACCAGCTTGGCCAAGGCCTTGTCGGGCTACATCATAGTTCAACTTTTTCCTCTGCCCATTCCTGCGTGGTTTTCCCCAGGGGTGGTTCAGAGTCCTGTTTCAGGCCCAGTCCTGGCCCTCAGGTGGCTTAATGCCTCTAAGGTCAATAAGGTGGGTGTGCAGGCCTCCAAAATACATCCTGACGAATAAAATTAATAGCTACCAGTATGTGCTGATTGGTGGGATGTTAATCCAAGTCTGCTGTCTATAGGCATTCAGCTGCCCAGAACAATCACATCAATCCCATTCCTGCCTCAGGCACTTTCTGTTCTCTGTGCCAGGAATAGCTGGAGTTTGTGCCCAAATGTCACCTTCTCAGAGAGATCTTTCTTGATCCCTTAATTGAAAGGGTCCTCTGTCTAACTCTCAGACATTCCATCACATACCACGATGTTTGTTATTTTCTGTTACAATGAGTAGCAAAGATACTTTGAATATCTTATTTTTGGATGTTTTTGGTTACTTATTTTTC